TGTCAATGGGAGTTTCTCATGAGCTTTGTACAGGATGCCCTTTGCGCTGACAAAGCAATCTCTCCTAGGGGCTTATCTTTTCAAAGGAGGTTGAGATTTTTTTTTTCTCAGTCTGTTACAGATACAAAGCTTTTTGTGCAAAAAAAAAAAATAAAAGACGAGAGGGGAATTATTTCTTATTCAACCGTTCTATTATTGTGCATGAAATTGTCTCTAATATGTCTCACATTGTAAGTACGTGGTATTACAGATCATTCCTCAGTATTTAACACCTTGATATTTTACTCTAGGGAGCACAAAAAAACGGTTACACTGCCGAGTGAAATTCTTAATGTAGGCCATCATAAATGACGATGGAAAGGAAATTATGCAAAGAAAGACTAAGTGTAAAAGTAATTTATGACATTCTAGCTGTAACATTGCAGAGAAAATGCAGAGAATATCCATTAGATCCTGTATTTCACTTTGACATTGACTTGTCATATTAAGAAGAGATTGATAGCAGCTGTGATTTCTCCACACCAGAGAGACACACGCTGACACGTACATGTCTGGTCCATATTGTAACATGCCAACAATTACACTTGTTCACTCATTTTCTCCAGAAGGACAAGAACGTTGCAGCAGTATGAGCAATCTTGCCAAGAGATCCTTGACCCACACAGTATGTCCCTTTTTTTTGTAACTGTGAATATTCTGGCCTTGTTTGATGCTCATCCTCAGTCATAAAGACGGCCTTGTTTTCTATCCCAAACAGGTTTGGATTTAATTTTTCTTGTATAGTTTATGTGCTACAACATGTGCTGAGAGGCCAGTCTAGGGATCTAGCATCTCCTTTTCTGATTACTGTAATCCTGTGTTTGCTGGTGCAAATAGGAAAGGAAACATGAAAAGTTATGACTATGACTGGTAATGACTATGGTGTCTGTGCAGATATACTAAGTGTCTACCGAGCACGATGCTGAGTGCTTATTCACAAAGTAGCCACTAATTGGAAAAGTGTGTTTGGAAAACCTCTCAATTAAATTATTTTGTTACGTTCTCAGTATGGCAAGCTGTAAGTCAGAATCAGGATGATAGAGAAGAATGGTTTATACGTGTCTGAATCAGATATTAATTAAGTTAAAAGGTCACACTGGGGGTCTACTATACTAACAGTAAAGGTTCGCCTCACCATGCGGCCCCTGAACATTTTATTTGAAATCCAGGCTCTACTAGCTGTGTGTTAACCCCCCTGCAGAGCTAGTGGGTGAAGAAGATTCCTTGTGTGGTGTATTAGTGTTTTGTTTTCCTGCCTAGAAACATTGAGCTGGTCATTAATAAAATATTAATGAAAACAGGTATATGTAGTCTGTAGGCTGTTCATTTATGATACTGTCAGATGAATTAACCAGATAAAATAAAGTAAAGAGAACTATTTACAAGGATTATGTGCTTACAAAATAAATGGACAAAACATGAAAGAAATATGTTTATACTAGCACATAAAAAGCTTTTGGTCCTAATAATAATAATTATTATTTATTTATTTATTTATTTATTTTATTTATTATTTTTTGTCCCTTTCTGTGTGTTTACATAGTTTTATCTCCTACCAATAAAGGTTAAGTTTTATTATTATTTTTCAGCATTACAATTAGGATGGGGGTTCCTTTCTTGGTTGACCGAATGTAGGGACGAGGAGTATCCTCCTCTCTACCTAGATCCTCCTATTTTTTGTATTTTTACTAACTCCACAGCAGCAAAGAAAACGTATAAACAAGAACCGATCAAATGCAGTAGGAAGTATAGTATCCACAGTGAATAGGCTCCTCCTCCTATTTCTTTGCTGCTCAATTAGACAGGTCAGAGTTTTGTCTCTTCCTCATGTTTTACTGCATATTGTTATTATTGCTTATATTTTTTTCTACATTCCATTTTCTCTTATCTCCTTTCTATTTGGACACTGTTTCCTCACTTATGTACTGTATTTCCTTGCTTGGGGACTGTTTTTTCTTATACTCTACTGTGGCTCTCCTCGCCCTGGGTTACGCCCCCTCAGTGATGGACCGCCTGGCACTCCGACCGGGTGCCTCAGCCAATCGATGCTCCTAGTACTCACCAAGGAATTCCAGCACTCCACCAGACACCATAAGCACTGCAGACTCCAGTTTGGTTGGGGTCTCGCCGTCTCCTACCCACCCTGGACCTACGACAAGGCTCCAGGTTCCAGTGGGTGAACTTCTCTTTCTCCAGAGAGTCAAGCAGGAATAGCTCTTACAAGAGCTCAGAGAATCCAAGGGAGTATAATGATTATAGCAATTCCTTGTAGTGATATAGCTGTCCCCTCCACACAAGAAACAAGACTCAAGTTGAGGGTGAAGAGGAACTCAATTTTAATGGAGACACACTGGCCTTTTATGTAAGTTTCCCAACAAGGGTGACACCTAGGTGGACCTTGTTGGGCACAGGGACACAAAGTTAACAAACCAATAAAAACAGAGTTATACAGTGGGACACACCCATACACAAACAATAGAATCCCTCCTCTGTGCTTGGGAGATAATTGAATCAGGAACTGTACTAATCTAACCCAATTATCTCCAAGCACAGAAAACCATCAAATTTTATGAAACCCCAACAAGTACATTAAAAACACATACAACCCCATAAAAGTTGGAAAGAGAAAGGTTGAACAACATATCCGCAAATCACCCAGATCGGTTCAGGGGTTCAGGAATTTCCTGGAACTCATAGTGTTGACCAAACGTGCACATGGTCCAAAACTGTTCCAGGGAAATCAGTGCTAACAGTCGGTCAAGTTCTGTAGTCTTTTACAGGTTTCCCTGCAGGGCCCATAGTCTGTGGGTAGTAGGCTGGCAAGCAGGCCCCTCCAAGTACAAGTGGCAAGGTTACTTTCTCCACAGACGCAATCTTGCGCGGTCGGCGGTATCTCACTGCCGAGTCTACTTTCTATCACACGGGTTTATTCCTACCTTGGACCAGCTCCCTCACTGCTCTCCCGGCCGCACGCACCCATCGCCCAGCAGGGGCTGGATCGCTGTTCCTTGCGATTTACCGAGGCGGTAGCCATCTTGATTCTCGCGTCTCACAAGACTCACATCCACCATTTTGGTTTTACCGCGTGTGCTGCATTTGTATAGTTCCCGGTTTACTGTCACCTAGGGAAGATAGGATTCCTTCTTCTAACACCAAGTGCTGTTTCAGACTGCTACTGGATACTCAAGGCAAGGGTCAAGTCAGGTCAGTTTCATCTCCCTGATAGCTGTGGCCTGCACTATAGGGCTTAATACCTTGTGCATTTGGGGTGAAGCCCCTGATTATCTGTGCTGCTGAGTTGAGGTCTGCTTTGGCAACCTCTGTGTAACTGGGAGGCCCAAACACTAATCAGAGTTTATCACACCCTGATGAGGTTTATCATTAGTACTGCTGGTACTATCACTAATCTGAGTTTTTTTTATACCCTGCTGGGGTTGATCATTAGTACTGCTGGTACTATCACTAATAGAGTGAGACTAAGGCCTACAGTATTGACCTCTTGCCTGCCACGTGCCCTGTGCCATGCACCCTGTGCATCAGGAAAGTGCCAAAAGGTCCCTGCCCTGCATTGTATCATGGAAGATTCCCAGAACACCCCTGCGGACTTCCAAGCTATGATTAACGCAGCTGTAGCCGCGTCCACGGAGAAAGCTCTTTCTAAAGTGATGACGGCGGCTGCCAACCAGACTGAACCCTCCAGACCCCATCGCTCACACTATGATTCGGATTCTGAGGCCTCAGATTTCCATGCTAAGGAGGGTACCCAACCTGGCAAGCGCCATTGGAAGGGCAACATGGTACATCCCACCCAATACAGGGGCAAGGCTCCCGCTAAATGCTACAAGTCGGCAGCAGCCTGCCCCACGACACACCTGCTCCTCGGACGAAGAGGGGGTCTGCCTCACTCAATGTCCATACTGGACGAATGTCAGGCGGTGGAGTCAGATTTAGAAGACGACGCGTGGGGGTCAGATACTAAATCACACTCCACATTTGTGCAGGAGACTATCGTGGGTGAACCCCAGTTGACGGAGGGCGCTGACACTGCGCAGTAGGATGGGGAAACCAGCGGGGACCTGACTGGTCAGAAGCTTTTCAACCCATGGAATATCAGACACCCACGATCAGGGGATTGGACACCCCCGAACACTTGTCCAAGTTCATGCACCTAAGGCTTTGCAAACTGCTGGACAATGTGGTACGTAACCGACTGAGGTCGGAATGCCCACGCACTTCCCTACCCGATAATGTGGCCCAAACCCCTGAATTTGACCAAGTGATGATGACATTCATGACGAGAGGCGGGCGTGACCCCTGAAAAGGAGTGGAGAGAGGTTTCAGAGGAGCACAAGTTAAGCTGTTGGATTCCATCAGCCCCCTCTCTCATGTACCTGGCGGACGATGCCTTCTTGAGAGCTGACCAATTTGATGCCAGCAAAGTTCAGGAATGGGCACACGACATACGTGAATAGGCACAAATGTTGCCCTCTCTTCCGAGAAGCGCAAAGCACCACTACTCCGCATAGATGGAAAATTGGTGGAATTGGGCACCAAAGAGCTCGGACCACTGGCACAGGGCAAACTGTTTGGTGAAGCATACCTCAAGGAGCTGAACAGACATGTTAATGTCTTCACCTTGCTCAATAAGGCACAGACTTCCATGCGAAAAGTTTGGAGCAACGCCACAAGACGGGTTTTTTTGGCAGGGCTGGCCGCCAAAACCCCAACCATTCTACCCGGTAGTGGGCTACCGACAACCGTTCTCCTACTCTAGTGGATCGGATAGAGGACGTGGAGCACATGGA